CCTTTCTGTAAATGAAGGGACACTTCACTTCCTGTTGTCCTGTCAGTTCACCTAAAATTAAAAAAACACTCATTAACTACTCATCTACACTTCACTCTCCCCTCCAGTGGTGAGGTGATGATGAGTGAATTTTCATTTTTAGGTGAACTATCCCTTGAATAGCAGTTGTGTCGCACCTGTCGCAGCCTCGTGGTGAAACAGGTGGAGGCGGAACTGAGGGAATCAAACACGTGTTGTTCAAACATTTCTTAGTTCGAGTCGCTGGAGTTTGAAGAGTTTGCGTGATCGAAAAAAAAAACCTCCTCCACTGTGAGTCAGTTGATTTGTGAACAAGTTTCCACCGGAGCAGAGAGAGAGGAACATCTGGACAGCTCAGACAGAAGCAGGTAAACGCTGCTGAGGTTCCAACAGTTTGTTGACCAACAGTCACGAAGTTAAAGAGAAGGTTTGATAAGAACCTGCTGAACGAGCCTCTGTCCTCCATTCATCACATGGCCTCCAACAAAGTGGATCATACTCTAACTACAGCTGGTAATGTTACTGCTGCGTCTCCAGGATTAAATCCTCTGGAGTCATTCTAATCCTGAATATATTCTGTTTACTGTCTTCTACTTCAACAGAGAAGCGTCAACTGCGAAGTTGTATTTGTTTATAAAATGCCTACAATTATTAGATTATGAAAATAGAACATTTGATTCAAATCAATCAACCATTTCTTTTACAGCCCTTTCTACAATGAGAGTTTAATATTAACCTGAGTAAAGTGGGTTCTCTTCCATCCATGTGCAGTGGGGAAGTGTATATCTATAAAAGATGTATTCAGCCAGTGGTCATATTAGGCTACATGGGCAAAAATGTTTGCCATGCTTCACTGTAATGTTAATCATGTAAGACAAATAATAATTTTGTAGAATGTAGACCAATACAAAAAGCTTAGATTTGCAACTTTAGCTAGATATTCTTCTGTGAAAACAGTGTTATCAAGTTTACGTGCATGAATATTAACCCCCAGAAAAATATTGCTGCCTTAAGTTGCTTTTTTCTTAAATCTGAACAATTTGGTGACACCACAGCTCTCAGTCTGTTTCACTGGGACCTTGAGAGTTAGATTTTAGTCTTCAAGTGATTTGAGTTGAATGAGTAAGTTGAGATGTGGGTTACACAGACTCCTGCAAACAGCAGTTCAAGAATGACTCAAGTAGACCCCCCCCCCACATCTTTCCTTGTCAGAATCAATAAAGCAAATCTTTGTGTGGCCTTGGAAACAGGCTTTCATATGCCACCCATCTGTTTTAAGGACTTTCTTTATTATCTAAACAGGAAACTCAGCATCCTTAAAACTGTTGGTGTCAGGGTTTAATTACGCTTTGAAACTGCCTCTTTAGCGTATTTTCTGTTTCTAAAGTGCCAGTGTAGAAAATGTGATTCGATGACTGAAATATGGATGAATCTGTATCACATTCTTCCTGCTTTTAATTCTTGTCTCTTTGAGTCTGTCCTCTGCTGCCAATAAAAGAAAAACATTCAGGGTACTGTGAAGAATGATTAACAAAACTCCCTTTTCCAAGGTCTTCTGTGAACCAGTATTTTAATTAAAACCACTTGTTCCCGGTACCTGTTCTTCTCATTAGTCATGTTTGAGGGATCACAGACAGTACCACTGAAAGTCAAAGATTAAAATGGAAAATGCAGATGTGTGAAAAATGTGACTTACTTTACAACTATTGCAAACTTTTAGTAACTGTGAAAAATTAATCGGCATTTAAAAGGTTTTCTTTTAGTCCACTTACAAATAATGATGAACATTTTTAGAGAGACAAATCTAAGTTTTTTTCGGAAGAGGAGCTCTTCAAGGAAGTCGAGCTCTTCAAGGAAGTCGAGACATTTCTCATTAAGCACTTTATTCTTTCAGTCACATCAGCACAGCCCACTAGGTTATCAACTTATCCATTGTATTAACTCTATTGTAATGGGAGATGGAATGATTTGCTTTTGTGATCATTTGTGTTGGAAACATTTCAAGTTTTTACACCATGGTCATACAGGCAGAGCTGTGCTAAGAAGCACTTTTCCCGATCTGGTTATAAAATAACTTGCATATAATAATGTTCCTGCTATCAGGTGCAGTAGTTCGTATGATTAGGGCTAGGCAATTAAACAGTATCAATGAAAATCACAATGTGATTTTCGTAAATAACAATATTGCAGAAGTTTGATATATGTTGATGCAATGCTTACAGGTTGTGGAAGCACAGTGATAATCTCTGATTTGTGACATTCACTCAGGGGGCAAAAATGAGTATTTGTGAAAATTATTGATAAAGACTCAAATAAAAAAAATGAAATCTTGATATTACCTTTGGCCATATTGCCCAGACCTGATATGCATTGTGAATTTTTGAATATCATTGATCCAGGGTTAGTATCCTTGTCAGTCAGTCCTGTGGTAGCTTTTTTCTCAGATGTACAGAAAAAAGGGAAGACTGGATAGTCTCTGCCCTTTCCTGATTTTTCTACAGTGCCCTGCCTTCAAATATCATAATCCACACATGCATGGACCTGGCAGAGGGTCAGTGTTTTTAAGAAGTGTGCATTAATTATGTGCTGCATATACCTCAGGTATTAGTCTTTTTAAATATGCACTCCTTGGAAATGTCAGAGAAGTTTCTCTTTTGAACCCACCCCCTACTGAGGTGTATCAGCAGCAGTATGGTTCAGCATTTAAAATGGAGAAATGTTTCCTTCAATAGAGCAGAGACAAACCTGTTCTCACATGTGTCTTGATGAGACTGGGAATAAGTGAGGGGTAAAAGAAGAGTTTGATTTCATACTGCACCCATCATTAGAGGAGAGGACTGTATGTTGATCAATAGGAATGGCTACAACAAATACTGAGTTACGGCATGTCATTGGCATGTGTAATCACATTTCTGCTTCCCCTCTGTCTGTTTTTGAATTAGCACCCTGTCAGCTCTCCAGCAGATTTCCAGAGAAAGGCAGAGAAAAGAAGAGGAATGGCTCTGCAAGGATTTCAAAACCAGGTATGAAAGTTTTTTATTTCTTTTTAAGATTTTGGCATATTTATGGAGCATTACGTTCGGAGTGGGCCATTTAATGTTATTTGCAGAAAGAACACATTGTTCACATTAGACTTACAAAAGCCGCAGTCGTGATCGTGACCTCGCAGCTGAAGGGCCAAGCTGCATGAAGCAAATGGAATTCAGTGTTTGTGAAAGCTCCACACAAATTAATAATAGAACCAGGTTATGAAAATAAAAAGATGTAGGAACGTTACTCGTCCTAAAGCTCGGCTTTCAGCAGCCTAAGGCTCCCACACAATGCGCTGAACTGGAGAGGCCTGATATGATGCAATTGCTTCGTCTTTGAAAACACTTGCTCAGTAAGTGGTGAGAGAATAGACCTTGGTAACTTGTGTGTAGGGATGATCAAAAACTTAACGGCGATCCCTGGTGGGCTCCCTAAAGGTGTTGTATGTGTGTGATTGTGAATGGGCAATACTGTCTGCATCCTCACATTATCCAGAATCACATGATCCTCAGTCAGTAGTGTTTTAGTTTTATTTTTCCTGCAGCATTAAAACACTCCAGCACCAATGTTTTAATGCTAAAAGCAATATGAAATATTCAATGTATCATCAGGGAAACACCTCAAATTTGGTCTAACAGAGCCAAAATAGCCCCATGCTAAAACAAAGTAACATTTTGGGAAAACTGTTAAAGTTTGTAATACCAACATCATGTCTGATTATTTCCATCTGGTAAAATGATGCCATGTTATACAATATCTGTGTGAACCCTAAGACGGAAAGCTAGAGGCTTGCATTGTCCTGACTACAGAAATCTAACCACTGACTCTTGGGGCTGAGTCAGATGAAAATGTGGTGCGCTTTTACTCTGCCCGGCCAAATGTGAAATAAATAAGAAGAAAGGAAAATGGCTGCTCTCTTGGCTGTACCCTTAGTCCCTTGCTCTTTGTTAAAACCATATCTCTGCTGCTCCATTGCCCCCAGATACATTAAATCCTATTAAATTCACCTTCATTAAAGCAGTCCTCTCTACTCCTTGCAGCAGCCCTGGTGCGGGCCTCTCAAGGACAGAGCAGTAATGAGGGTGGACTGGGTTTAACCTTGAAGAGTACAGGTTTTCATTTCCAAATCAATAACTTATGGTTCAAAACTGCCACTAGATCCAGGCTATAATTTTCAAGCATTAATTGTGTGGATTATGTTTCTCCTGCAGTGAGAAGCTATTTGACTTTATGCTGCTGTGTAGATTGTGCATTTATCATTTTTCCCCCCTTTTTTACGATAGGAATTGACAGCTTGGACATTTTTGTATATCTGTGAGTTTGTGTGTATGCGTGTGTATATGCCGCACAGATGGGATAACTTAGGGAGATTGTATTTCAAAGAGTCTGCATGTGCATAAGTTATTACACTGTTGGTGCAATTTTCGACAGCGAAACCAAGCAGTGGGCAGTTGGCTGGAATTTCTCCTCAATCCAGTATTGCAGTCAAATGTCGTCATGAGGTAGAAATATAAGAAATCTCCCTCACAGCCGGGTAAGACAAGTTTTGGCTGTCACCTGCTGTCAGAAGAAGTAGGAATATATGAATTATGAATGAAAAAATTAACACGTGGTTGATCGACAGACAGCAGGGACAAGGGGAAAAGAGAAAAGAAATTCCTGACCTACAGTTAAGGAGTGAAATTGTTCCAACTCCTGTCATTTTCACATTTTACTGGGACATACTCCATAGTGGGGTTTGCTGTCATTGTCATACGGTTGTATGGAAAACATTCACATGTCCTGCGGTGATAATTTCTGCCCGACATGTTCATAATATGAAATATTGGATCTTTTCATAAAACGGGGAGGGCTGAGGCTGGGGTGATCACTGGAGCTTAATTTTTTTTTAATCAACTTCTCTCTCAAATGAAGCTTTATTAAATTATGAAGCTCACACAGTGGGAGGAGGACACAGGCAGTGATGGCCCAGTGTAAGAAAAAAAAGAAGCTTGGTGGGATAATTAAATAAAGTTAATAAAAACCCTTCAGTTGCATAGACTGAGGAGAATGGGAAGGAGGGGAGACACGGTAGCTGTTTTCATGCTACGCTTTTTCTTTGACTCTCTCTCATTAGGGTCACAGGAAATTTACCATGTGGAATTATGAATAGAAGAAAGGGATACAATATCTGCACAATGTTGATGGATTTCAAATGAAGACACAGTTACATTAGTATATTCACATTTATATTCATGCACAGTGCAAGCTGAAATAAATGGGGCCTATTGTTACTACTCCGTCAGAGAAGGGACATCTGATCATCTTGGTTTAAGACTTAAGGTTCTGTCTTTGAGGCTTCGGAAAATTCATAAATTCATGCTGGTAGAGCCAGTGACATTTTGTGAATTGTACTTTCACTCTTAAAACACAAGTTAAAATATTAAATGGTATTTGTTATTGTCTCTTCCACTAGCTTGCTCTGTAATTTTTATCAATGGATTATTTCCTCCTGAACAGACATAAGCTTCTCCTTTAGCCTGTATGCAGCTAACTGTAGCAGTCATATGTATCGCTGTCTATCCATCTATTTTCAGCACCTCATCCAGGATCAGCTCAGTGGTAACAGGTTAAGCAAGGCAGCCCAGAAGTTCCCCCCTCTTGGTAACATTTTCAGCTGCTTGCATCCATGATGTCATTGTTCTGGTCACTACCTAGAGCTCATGACCATAGATAAGAGCCTTCCAGCTCACCGCAATGGTCCAGGACAGCAACTTTCTGCTTGTAAATCTTCTTTCTTCTATCAGGATTTGTGAACAAGACCCAAAGAAATTCTGTCCCTAGCCAAAGGGCAGAAAACCATAGTCTGTTGGAGGTTCTGACTCTCATCCCAGATAAAAACCTCACTCATGGTGATGGTCACAGTCCTATGAAGCCATAAGAAACCTGTCATCTTTAATTCAGACACAATTCTAATGGTTTCAAACTGAACTTTCTCTTCTCTCCACTTGTGCTTTACATCCAGTCCATAGAACTCACAAACATGAGGCCAACACCCACAGAAATGTGTTTGACTTCCTGCCGTGAATGTAGACACAATTCTTTCTCCTGTTAGACAGGCACTTGAGACTGGATGGCTCCAGATCCCTTTATTCCCATAGTAACCCATACAAGATTCCTCAACAGACGGGTTCACAGGCCGACTCTCAGCCCATAAGGCACAGGTAAACTTGATGGCCAAACTCTCATGACCCTTTGCATGTGTAAAGAGGTGGGACCCTGCATCACAGCCAGTGTGGAAGCTGTGTTGCTTCCCCTGACTGAGATTTGAAGATCGGTTTGAGCCTGCGTTCCCCGGGAAGGTTGAACCGACTGTTCAAACAGGATTAATGATTTCAAAAACATTTAGAATCATCTTAGCTGTACAGAGCTGACTGGTAGCCTGGCTAATGGTGGGGGAAGCTTTTGCTCATTGCTAATACACGTGTCTTTATAATTGGTTGATAATTCATAGTTTTTCTCAAACGTGTCCATGTTTAGCAATTTGGCCTGCTAGCTAGCTTGACCATTTTTGTTTTCGTTCATTGAAAAGTAAATTGGATCCTAGACAATGGCAGGTAGAGTACATTTTGCCAGTGGGACACAGCAGTAAACTAATGAGCCTGGGTTGACTCTGACAATTTTTACTGGGACTATTGATATATTGTCACAATCAGACCTGACTGTAGATGGAAAACCTGATATATGCATATCATGTTTTGGCTGCAGTTTTATCTCTGTGGAGTGTGACCATGTTTATATATATTTATTTGAAAAGGCAATTAAATGTTTCCCCTCAGTCTAAAATCTTCTTAGTCAGATAAGCTGGAGACTCACTGAAGAAACTATCCAAATGTTTGAGTGATTGTCTATTTCTGCCAGATCCAGCTTGTGCACCTGTCTTCTGCACAATGCATGCTTGGCTACACTCTAGCTGTTATCATGCTGTGAGCAGAAATACAGGGGTAAGAATATATTTTGACAAGAATGCATCTAAAATGGATGTAAATTGTTTGAGAAATAGATTGTATCTCCAGCACATTTCCAATAGACACTCTTAACTTGACCTTGTATGTTTTCACAGCTTTTTCTCTTAGTATAAAGTTGTCATGTTGTGCATTTTGTCCCTGGGTTTGAATTGTGCATTTACTCACAAATGTCAAAACTGAAATGTGACCATGAAACCCTATACTTACCCATGCTTTTAAAGAAAGTAAAAAGACCTTTGGTGCACACAGTGCAGCTGGTTCACTCATCCTTGCATGGCATGTTATCTAATGTCACTCACAAAATCTTTGGCCGGACTTCAAAGCTGAAATACGGTCAAATCATATTTCAGCACCTAATGTTGCGCTTATAGTCACTGCAGAGCGTGTAGTTGGGCTAATTTAGTTAGCTCAAACCTCTTCCAGCCAAGGCTCTGAAGTTTTACACTTGTGCCCAGTATGTTGTGAAACTGCAAACACTTTTATGTCCGTCTGTCTATCAAACTTTATAATGCTCTGATTTCTTCCCCACTGGCAGTGTCTTTTAATTAGATTATACTGGAGGTATAACCACAGTCCAGGATGCCAATTTGTGTCCCAGACGGTGTAAAATTTACTGTTACGCTGCTGTCGAACAGAGCAGGTGAGAGCAGAAAAGGTCCTTGGGCAAAGAGCAGCTGACTCTGTCTCTCTCTCTCTCTCTTCCCTCTTTGCAGTCAGACATTTAAGACATGAGAGGATAAATAAAAACGCTATTCAAGATCCCGACAAAGTAAAATACAGACGCATTGGTCCAGATTATGTCTCCAGGGTAGACTGTTCCTTACGATAAAGAACTGTGATGTTGGCAAGCATGCACGTGCAGTGTATGTGCCGCATATTGAGACTGACAATGTGTTAGATCACTCAGTTATTCTGCTGTTTCCTGACTGAGCAAGAAGTCAACAAAGTATCTTTTGCTGGGTGCACAAAAATGTTTGGAAAATGTTTTTTTCCCCCATTGTTGGATGGATGTCACAAAATGCTATGAAGGTACCATGATTAAAACTATGCCACATTTTTTGAGCACTCAGAACATTTTATCCAGTGTGTTAGAAATCGACATTTTGCGTAGAAAACACCCGTCGTGTGTTTAAAGCATATCGCCAATGAAAGCAGCAAAGTGAACAGCTGCAGGTAATTAGAGCTGGTCCAGGAACGGCCGGGGATTCAAAGTAAACATGGACGGTTTCCACAATCAACAACATTTACAAACGCAGAAGAAGGAAGCTACTGAATTTGTGAAGAATGGGCAGTGGGAATGGAAAGCATAGAAGCATGAAGCTAGCAGATGTTGAGAATTAAATACAGGCGGCATGTGGCTAACAGGACTGTGGGCTTATTCTTCTGATGGCAGGCCCTGGAGTTGCCGAGGGCTAAAGGACAGCTGTTCCGGGTTAATACCTACAGGTTTACATCAAGTCAGCCATTGCTATGTTTTTTTTCATTTTAAAGATAATTTTTTTGGTATTTCTGCTTTATTGACGGTGACGGCAGAGAGAGACAGAAAAAGGTGGGAGAGTGGGGGGGGCTGACACTTTAAAAGGATTTACTCCAGGGGAAACTGACCCTAGCTTTGGTGCATATCTACGGCTGCTACTGTTGTTGCTATGGTACATACAGTACATCATGCGTGACGCCTTGAAATTGGTCAAGATTTTGCAACGGAGTATAATTGGCTGTTGAATTGATTGACTTTAAATGGCTGGATGAAACCGAACTCTTATAGAATCAGGGCCCCTGAGAGCTCGGATTGTTTCGGGCATAGTCCTGAAATTCTTTTAGTCTGAGAGTGCCAACTGGTTCTACTTTAAATTGCTGAAAAGACTTGAATTATAGATGATTAGCAGAAGGAACCTGATGCTCACTTGCGTCTCTTTGCGCGCCCCCAGCTGATGTTCACAAAGTTCTAAGTGAAGCACAGCACCTGTGAAGTATGTGAAAGTCTCTGAGAGGTCAGCATTAATGATGATCAGGCACATACATTCTTAATTGTAAGACTGCAGTACAACATAGAAGTATTTTTGTCACATGCATAGCTGACAATAGGTGTATCTCTCTTCATTGCTGTTTGTTTGGGTCATACAAAAACAACAGAACCTACTTAACTGAAACTTTGTGGAAGGGTGGTGTATGGGCCAAGGAAGAACTTTTAAAATTTTCAATTAAAGGGGATGGATTCTCTTTATTCAACAGGGTGAGATTGGGCATTAGCCTTGGCGGAGTTATACACTCTCCAAGCACCCATCTGGTTTAAATTTGGCATCTAAAAGTATAAAGCAAAGGTAATGGTATAAAATAAAACCTTATTAAGTGTTTTGTGTGAAGTCATTCGTTATGTGGCATACCTAACTAAATATTAGCACACTGGCCGGGCAGCCTGAGTGTGGTTCATCCCTCACCAGCTCAGACTAAAACAACCGTACTCTGTTTATTCAAACTAGCTGCCTGAGATTGTACTGTCAGACTCTCTGCCTCTCTCGGCTCTTTGGCTGTTGCAACAAAAACATGTCAGTAGTATTTAAAATAGTGGTGTCATAAATGATTTGCACTAATCTGTGTAGGTATTCGTTCTGACTCATGAAGCAGTGGGTGATTTCAGGCGGCAGAGAGTAGGTTTTGTTTTTCAAAGCCAGGCACAACTTCACAGAGATGAAGTTTTAACATTTGCTTTTTGTTTCAGCCCTTCAGCCTGCAGAAAGAAAAATATGGCTTTTTTACTGGAAAAGAAAGCACTTCATTAGAACAAACATCCAGCACGGCATACGGTGCCCAATTCATTTCACTGTTAATATTTCAAACGCTCAGTGTGTATTGATTATTCTTTACAGCAGTGCTTCACTTTTCTTGTTTAAGAATATTCTTGGAATCCAGCAAAGAAAATAATCTTTACATGTTATTATACATTTATTTTGAGTTTACAAAAAGAAATGAAACTAAATGTTGGAAACCATTCCATGATGGAAATAATGTACTAATTACTAACATTGCCAGAAGGTTGTGTTTGTTTGTTTGTATGTCTGTCACTTAGTTCCTTAGCAGGATTACGTAAAAATGACAGATTACCATGAAACTTGAATGTAGGGGACGATATGGGTCAGGAGAGCCCATTCAAATCGATGTCGATCTGGATCAGATCCAGGATTTTTTTGTTACTTTTTTAATGTTTTGAGAGAGGGTATTTCTTCAAAATGTTCATTGATTTCACAAAGAATTAATTGTTGATCTTGATTAAAAATAAAAAATAAATCTGGTGTGTTGAGGGCACTGTTGGAGCTTGAACACTGAGGGCCATGCAAAATGTTTTCTTATTTACTTTTGTTTATTGAGCTAAAGGAGAATTTGTAGTTTTGAATTAACAGTTGTATGTGAGAGTGAAACACTGCATGTGCAGTACTGGACCGAGAAGAGATTTATACTTTAAGATGAGACATTTTCAGCACTGGATTACAGCACGGGTATAGTGAAATAATAATGATGTATGATATGTGACGGCAAAAGTGCCTTGATGAAGTACTTGCATTTACTTTCTGGCTTCTGTCCTTCACCTCATATTAGTTCATATGTCCACTCCTACATATGGAAACCAGGGTAGTGTGTCAACTTTACCCTCCCTGCTTTCCATCCCTCCCACGTCACACCTCACACCTCTGCCCCGTCTGACCAGGTGCTTCTGTTCAGTCATACCACTCACAACAGCAGATTGGGTAGCATATTATTACTAAATTGCTCCCGTCAGCTTCCATCAGGGTTTAAGATGAATGCTGCCAGCTGTTTCCCTGCTCTAGTTATTTCTCTTTTTTTCTGAATGTATCTTTCTCGTCTTCTCCCCTTGTCAGATTTGCTCCTCATGCAGTTGCCACTTTGTGGTGGTGAAGCTCCGTCAGTGGTGAGTACTCTCCTGCAGTCCCTGAAAGTGAACCCGGCAAATAAGTTTTAAAAATTCTCTGAACAAGTCCAACATACTACAGTACAGATGAAAGAGAGCACAATCTACAGTGTCTCACTTTAAAGGGGTATATTGTACATTTTATTTTGCAAAGATGGGACAAGATGTGTCAGATAAGACGGTGCATATTCACCGCAGCTGCTCCCCTGTGTGCTCAGTTCTAGGGAGATATACATTATGCATTTCATGTTAAATCACTTTTAAATGCAGTGGATGTAGGGTTGGGCAAATGGTCATATCTGCACTTAAAGGAGTGATGTTTTTGTGGCCGGGGGCATGTTGGACAAAGTTGAAGCCCTCCTCCTCCCTGGAGGTGGTCTAGGATCATTAGTTTTACTTTTTGAAGTGTTTGGCCTTTTGATGTTTCTATGTTCTCTTCAGGCAGCCTGGCCTGAAGGATATTTAATATCACTCCTACAAATTTCCAGTTAGGAATAATTTGAAGTGAGCATCTGTCAAAGAAACCGCCATTTAAATACACCGGTCATGGTTAAAGAGGCATAAAATGAGGCCAGATTAGACAGAGCACCTTTCTCTCGTGGCTGGCCCTGGTTGAGTCGGGGGCCAACCTGGGGCACAGGGACCCAGGAAAAACTGCTCCTGCTTCCAATTCTTTAAGTACAACTATCTAACACCTCTGGGATCCAATCTCTCCCCTGGATGCCCTCCCCGTGACCAGCCATGCTCACTTCTTCTGCAACCGTGGCATGGTGGGGATTGTCTCAGGGTCTCAGTTGCTTGATATTTTATTTATGAATGTTCAGGGGAGTTGGAACTAGATTATTTTTTATCTCTGTCTCTGATGCTCTGAACATCAGGGGACTGGAGTATCCCCATCGTCTCCACTTCAAACGTCCCCTTGTGTTTCCACTAGGGTGTGCAGGAGGACCTTCATCAGTGTATGTAATCTTAGATTATGTCTTATCACCAAGAGAATCATGAAGGAGCATGAGTACATCCTGTGAAAGAAACTGCCTGTACCTAAAGCTTTTGGCTGGGCCTGCTTCTGAAAGCTTTTCTTGTGTCAATTTAAAAAAAATGCAGATTCACTCTTTAAACAGACTGAGCATACATTTACTGATGTTAGTTAACTTTTTTTGTGACTATGAGCAGTGAAAAGTATTTATGCTTTGTGGAAGAAAACAGATCATCCATTGCTGATTTCCATCCTTTGTTAAACATAAATTGTAAACATACAATTCTGGTTTTCATTGATTAACAAATAACATTTAAAAGATATTTAAAAAATGAATTAAATTTGTGCATTTAATTTAATCATTTGTTACCAGTAAATATGCGTGTCTCTATGATGGACTGTATATTAAGATGGACTATGTGTCTCCACTTCCTCCTGCTTTACAAACATGAAGCCAAAATATCCCTATCATCTTCAGCTGCACGATGACGTATACTGCAGCCAACCAATAGGGGGCAATTGAGATGATGTACTGCTGTCATATCGTCCAATATACAATAAAAACTAGAGGGTTTGGGGGAGACATTGTTCAGATGGATGAAGAATATTGGGAAACATTGTGAAGCATTCTTGCCCCACGTGCCCCTTTCTTCAATCACCCTTGGGCCTCGGTGTGGATGAATGAAGATGGGTTGCATGAGCACACCACCTCAGACATTATCTTTTGGGGGAAATAAACAACACTTTAGATCCACATTGACTTAGAATGGAAAAAAGAAAAGGACAGAAGAAGAGGGGTTAGAGTGAACCACTGCAGGAGGGAAGCTGGGAAATTTCACTGTGTGCCAAAACATCCCTCTCTCTCTCTCTGTCTGTCTGTCTGTCTGTCTGTCTCTCTTTGTCCATATTTTTTGTACTCATCTGTTTTATAGATTAACTGCAACCCATCTTTTTCAGTCTTGTCTTTTGCTTTACCATTTCCATGTGATCTTAGCTCTGTCTTCATTTGTAGAAATTACAAATCATCAAAAGATTTCGCATGACAGAAGCACATCAGCTATTTCGATCATTTTCTGAAAAACAGAGTCAACATTACCTCTGTAAATGATACAGGCTTTACACTATTGAATGCAAATATGTAATATGTACTTCTCACAGCTCTTCTGAACTTGTTATTTGTTTTTAATGCCCCTGGTGTCCAGCCAGCATTGGGACATTTTTTGTCATTTAATTTTAATGACTTGTTGGGTAATCCATATAACTCCATTCCATTGACATAATCCACAGAGACATTGTACAACTTCAGATTCACTTCATGATTTGTGAGTCTTTCCCCTCCTCCTTGACATGGTTGCCCTTATTCTATCACATAATAGCACCGATGCAATTAACCCTAAGAATGTTCATTAAAAAAATTAGGTAAGCTCCAAGCGTTAATTGTCTAAAAATAGTCATCTCTGCAGTAAATAGATCACCTAAGGTCTGAACTAATCACTAATGACAATGTCTGAGAGTCATCATATGTTCAGTGTGCAGATACATTTCTTTTTATCAGTTTTATTTTACAACACAACTACTTTTCATAGCCAAATTCAGAGTATTGTGCTGAACAGAGTACAGTCTGTCTACCTTCTGTGTAGAGCTGACAGAAGAAGAGGTTTTGTTTAGTTGCAGAAATATAACCACATTGCTAAGAAAAATGTGAATTAGTAAAATTAAGTTATTTAATAAGGTTGGATATGGACACTGAGAGTTAACCATGTAGGATTAGTTCGTCATTGCAAACGGTCAGAAAGGGAAAACAAATATCAGTATTTGGTTAAAACTTGCACTTTTGTATTTCAGTAGTTCTGTGAGTGGCAAGTGGTGAAATTAGCAATTAAGTTTACAAACTTAACCTGTTGTTGATTTGTTGGCCCAACCAGGATAACCTGACATATTATCTTCTTTTCAATGTTGGATTAAAGTTTATCATTTGGCTCATGCAGAATTTGACGGTGCAGGATGAGGGAATCTTCAGTGTATTTGATGCGATGGGGACCATGCTGCCGCAGCGCAGCTTCAAGTGTGATTGAGTGTTAAATAACTAGATAACAGGGAGTAGTTAATCGGTGCGAAGTTCAAAGTTTATCCTCTCTACCTTGGCTTGTCCTGGTGGTGGGAGGAGACGGTGTTGGAGGCGAATGTGCTGTAAATGTGGAACTGCTGTGGAATAGGCTGTCAGGGTTCATTAGCCCAAGCCATCTCTATCTCAGGAGGAATGTGGCCAGTGGTTTAAAACCAATTTCCATTACCTGCCTTCATTTTATTAACTTCCGTACCATTACCAGGGAGCTTCCCTTTGACGTTTGTTCCCACTCACTGTCTTGTACTTCTAAAAGATCCCTCCGGGAGCAAGGTTGTGAACCTCACTTATCCTGTACTGTGTGTTCCCTTTAATCGCCAGGCACAGTGCCTCAGCGATGCACCAAAAGTGTGTGTGTGTCGATGTCAGATGCGAGGACCTTTGCATAAACTTTGAAACCAAGTTTACTTATCACCAATCTTCGATCAGCTTTACATAGAAATTCTGTGTGGAAATGAGTAAGATCCACCTTAAATGTTCTAAAAAGAAAAAAAAGAAAAAGGCTCTTGGTCAAGTTTCAATTGTCGGTAGCTGTTGAGTTGCTGATTCAGACACATTCGGTTGAGATAATCCTGTGGGAGCCTGGGGTGTGTGGTAAATAGTAACTGTGATATCTATCTATTCTGTGACCCCAGTCCACCACTGCTGATTAGATCTATTGGGAGCGTTTGTCCATGAATACGATTGGCTATTCTCGCAGCCTGAGTGAAATTGAGGAGTATGAAGCTTTTCAGATGCCCCTCTTCGTGACTGCCACTTGGGAGCACAGGGAAATGGAGGAGGAGGTGAAAGGCCAGGTGTCTGCCACAGAATTTAATTAGAAAGACTGGATGCTTTGTCCTCTGTAAAGTTGCTCCAGGCATTCTTTAATTGCCCCATTCCCCATTTCTTCCAGCTTGCCTTCTCAAAAGTTCATTAGTATTCATCTCGTACAAGCATTTGAATGTTGATTTCAAGGATATTCTACTTTATTGTACTTAAATTCATTGTCTCAACTCACAGCCAAATTGTATTACTGTCTAAATGTATACTGAAATACATTTCTAACGGCGCCATCACACTTGAAAAGTCCCATTTCAAAAGTTGGACTTGAATCCACTCTAGCTAGCTGATGAGATCGGTAATTGACTGTACTGATTAACTTGCCAGCTATTAAAACGCTCCCAGCTGATGTTTCTGAGAGTAACAAGATTAAGATATAGAGAGCTGGAGAATGCATGTGGACTCAAGAGACACAGAGTCCCAGACCTGATTTCCCAGTGTGCACTTTGCACACTGGGAAATCTTTTTAGGGATTTTTTTCTCTTGTTTTGAAACAATTGGAATCAACAGTGTGTGCAAAAGCGGAGGATCTGTCATTTTGGAGACGGGTTACAGCAGGGTTCAGCCTTTTTCAACTCAGGCATTGATTTTTATTGTTGAATAGTAAATGTATAGTTGTTTAGTTAATTGTAAAATTGAGAAACCGTCACAAATAAATGAAAGAAGAAGTTTAACATCAGAAACAAGTCAAATTTGCAAAAATGCATTTGATAATTCTGGCTGTGATAAACTGACAGAATAAGCATCAGCCAAGGGACTAGTTCTGGAGTTTTGTTTATTTCATCCACAAGGAGGTTATGTTTTCATCTGCATCTTTTTATCTTTAGATAGCAGGATTCTACAAAAACTGTTGGATGGATCACCACAAAACGTGGCTGCAGTATGAATTTTAATTTGAAAATTTTGGTGTGGAACGCAGGAGGCAGATCGAGGCATTTTTCTTTCACTTTCTTCAACATTATGAGATATGGTGTTTTAACTGAATAATAATAATTCAATGGGAACAATTCAAGGAGCTTAATTAAAAAATTAGGCATATTTGGGGAAGGCATATCTATAATTGTGTGAAATATGGTG